TTATTTGTGGAATGTGGTTCTTCCCATCCGCTATTTGACATTGTTCAGGAGACTAGAGCATTGATTTTCTCTGACTGGAACCTTGTCATCATCTATGCGTATAGGGAAAGCCAACTATGTGCAGATGCCTTAGCCAGATCCACTACAAGAAAATGGTGAGTTAGTAGCGCAACATTTCTAGCGGTTAAAAAAAACCGCTAGAAATTTAAGCATTTCTAACAGTTTCAAGAACTATCGCTAGAAATTAGCATCGCTTTGACCATATAGACTGTGGGGCCCGCAACTTTCTAGCGGTTATCATCTAACCGCTAGAAAATCACAGCTAGAACCCTTCCCGGGTTTTGGCGGGAATTTGGCGCCAAAATTGTAGCGTTTATTTTCTAGCGGTCAAGGTCAACAAACTGCTAGAATCTTGCAATTCTCTAGCGGTTCCTCAAACCGCTAGTAATGGTCCAATAATTTCTAGCGGTTTTGATTAAAACCGCTAGAAAATATTTTATGACCGTTGCACTTTCTAGCGGTTTGTTGAAAACCGCTAGAAATTTCTAGCGGTTATTACCGAAACCGCTAGAAAATTTGGAAATTCCCGAGGCGCCCTAAATGCGGGCGGCTGACCGTTGTAATTTCTAGCGGTTTTGTTTGATAACCGCTAGAAATTTCTAGCGGTTTTGTTAAAAACCGCTACAAAGTCGCTGCCTATATATACCACCACGGTCATTTTTACTATTTCAGCCGTTCATGAAGTGAAGCTCTGCTGAATTTTCTCCACAAAACATATCCGAGTTCTGATTCAGTTACAGATCCTTATTTTCAGGTACAAGTAGTAATTTATTTATAATTAATTTTTATTCTTATTTTTTTAATTTATTATATTTTTGTTTATAAATAGTTTCTCTTTTTATTTTATTTATAAATAATTACTATTTGTTGTTATTAGGATGAGTCGTCGGCCAGGGAAGGAACCAGTTGATCCTGAGAGGGCTGGACCTAGTGAGGATTGTCGTGATGGTAGTCATGATGCTGGTGAGGCATTTCTCAGTATTCATGACTACGATATCAGCAAGGAGGATATACTTAATTTTATGGAGCAGGACGATGTTGAACGGACTGAGGAGGCTCATTTTACTGGGGATGAACAACCCCATGCTGATGATGATGCTGCTGAGGAGGAGGAGGAGGAGCAGGTTCAGGGGAATGAGAATCCTCAGGCTGCGCAGCGTCCTGCTCCCAGACGTCAGGCCGGTTTTGAGGTGGAATTTGTGGGTAAGTATTTATTTAACTTTTTTAAATTTGACAACTATTTAATTTATATAGAAATTGTTTTAATTCATTGGTATATAATTTATTTCTTAATTAAATTTTGCAAACTCTGAGGGGAATAGGTCCTATAGGAGGCTGACAGCCAGAGAGCTGTCTATAACGACGAGCGGACGGGTGGTTATGCCGCTCAATGAGTTGGGCCAACGATAAAGAAAGGTGACCAGTTGTACAACAAGTATGTGCACCTCCTTGGTCAGCAATGGACGCTATTCCCCATCTACGTGCAGAACTAGAAGAAGATCACTTCAGAGAAGAAGCAGCAAGGCTGGGAAATGATAAAGGTAATATAAAATTATTATTTATAATTTTTTAATTTAAATAAATGATTATATATTTTGTTTTCAAATAATTTAATTGTTTGATTATAATTTTTTATTTATTTAATTTGTTTGTTATTTATAATATTTTTAAAATAGTTAAATGAATACATATATATTTTATTTAAATTATTTTATTGTTTGAAAATAATTTGTTATTAATTTCATTAATTTATTACTTATAATAATTTTAAATTAGTTGAGTAAAAATATATTTTCATTTAAATTACTTAATTGTTTAATTATGATTTGTTATTGATATAATTTATATTTCATTTATAATATTTTTAAGTTAGTTAAAAAATATATATATTTTTATTGAAATTGCTTAATTGTTTGTTTATAATTTGTTATTTAGTTAATTTATTATTTTAATCACAGAGTAAGTTTATTCTAGAGGAGGAGTTGAGGGCTGACACGATCAAGAGGCTTGGAGTGGCATGGAAGAACAGGAGGGCCGACCTGTGGAGGGAGAAGAAAGGTGACGGGAGAAGGCCTTTGCAGGAGATACTGGCAGATATACTTGGTAGAGTCCCGGAGCAAGACTGGTCTAGTTACGTCTATTTTAGGATGACGACTGACCAGATGGTATGATAATATTGTATTAATTATAATTTCTTTATTTTTTGTCTAACTTGACTAATTTAATTTAATTTTTTTACATTTTGCTTCAGGCTCTTTCCCGAAGAAATGCTGGGAGCGTCAGGCATCAGACGATACGTCATAGGGTTGGATCCAGGAGCTTTGCGATCACCTATGACGAGATTGTGAGTACTTGAAATAAATTTGTTAAATATGTATATGTATTTAATTTGTAACTAATTATTTCTTTCATTTCATTTACAGAGGGAAAAGATACGGCAGGAGCGGGGATACACGGCCACTTATGGCGAGATGTGGCCGATGGTGTATAGACCTCGAGACGGGCGTGCGTCGGATGAGGTTGAGGAGATAGCGGTAAGTAATAAGTTAAATATTAATATAATATCACAGTGTAAATATCATTTTATTCTAATTAACTTCTTTACATTAATTTTGGTAGGCACGGATGACTCAAGTCGATACCGAGTTGCGTGAGTCTCAGGGGTCTGCCTTGGATCCCACCGCCTCACTTTTAGCAGGTCGTGGCCGGCCACAGCACCCTGGTCGAGTTAGCGGGCTTGGACTTGGACCTACACCGACTAGGTTGCCCCGCTCAAGTGGTGCTGGCCCTTCATATACTGTCGGGAGCTCTCAGGTGAGTGCGAGAGCAAAGCGGCCGCGTTCCTCATCCTCAGAGGAGTTGCGAGAGGAGCTCAGACAAGAGTTAGAGGCCAGCATCGAGGCCAGGGTGGAGGCCAGGATCGAGGAGCGTGATCGTCAGTTGCAGGTGCAGCTTGACCAGCTCTTGGCAGCTACTACTACTATGTGTCATGTGGTGATCCGTATGGCTCCAAACATCCCGATTCCTGAGATCCCCGACCTACGCCTGCCACCAAACCCGCCCCTATCCCCCCATCAGCCAGTTCAGTCCCAGCACGTTGATCGACCTGCCCACCCCCAGCAGGAGGATCCAACGGAGGACGATCATGATGATGCTGCTTCTGCCCTTCACCCATGATTTCTCCTGTTTTCATTGTATAGGATTTTATTTGAATTTTGATTTTATGATTTTATATTCTATTTAGATATTTATTTAAATTTTATACTTATTTGTTTACTTTATTTATTTATTTCTATAACCTTATTTATGTCAAGTATTAATTAACATTGAAATATTTATTAATTTATTACTATATGAACATTAAAATTTATTAAACAGGTTAAACATATTAATTAATTAAAATATTTCTACAATTTATTTCTATAAATTAAATATTTCTATAATTATTTATTAATTTAATAAATATTTATAAATATTAATAATTTGTTAATAATTTTGTTTATATCACGTGTTAATTAATACATTATACTAAAAATGTTATTAATTTATTGCGCAGTATTTAAAATGCTTTTGGAATCTTTAATATTTAAAAATATTACCATTTCCAGCAAAGCATTTTCTAGCAGTTATATAACCGCTAGAAACTTCAAGCCAAATTCAAATTTCCCTCCTCGAGTTCCTGGCGGATTATACGCGATAGAAAATTAAGAACATTGTAGCGGTTCCTAACCGCTAGAAAATTTATAACCGTTGTCACATTGAATTTGTAGCGGTTATAAATCGCTAGAAAATCAAAATTTCTGTTAAAACCGCTAGAAATTTCTAGCGGTTGGTAACCGCTACAAAAAATTGACCGTTACACATCCGTTGACAGCCTCCTTTATAAGCTAAAACACTCCAACTGAAATTCATTTTAACTTCTCTTTGAGCTTCCTGTGTCATGTGTTCACAAAATTTGAGCAAATTAGTGATGGATAGGTCGTGGATCAATTTGCACCAGTCGACTCTGCAATACTTGGCTGATCTAAACTATTTCTTGGATTTTGCTTTCGCCAATGCTGTCGTAAATGGTAAGATTCAGTGTCCATGTCCTAAATGTAATTTCAAGAAGTGGGATCCCAAAGATATTGTTAGAGAACATTTGATCTTTAAGCCCTTCCTGCGAGAGTATGTATTTTGGCAACTACAGAGGAACGGCCAGATATGGTTGCTGAGTCAGTTCCAGTAGTTTCACGGATGGGAGTTCGAGTGGATGAAGCCGATGCCGTGAACAATGCTGTGCGTGATGCTTTTGGTGTTCACGAAAGCCCGAATCCCAATGAAGATGAAATAGAGGGGCCTCAACCGGAGTTTCTAAGAAACGAAACTGCTCGAGAATTTTTTGACCTCATGAGCGAAGCTGACAAGCCTCTTTATTCTAGGTGCACAAAGTATTCGAAGTTGTCATTCCTGGTGAGGCTGTATCATATCAAATGCTTGTGTGGTATGACTGACAAGGCGATGTCCATGTTGTTGGAATTACTGGGAGATGCTTTCCCACAAGCTGAATTCCCTCCATCTTTTTGTGAAGCAAAAAAGATTATTAACAAGCTTGGCTTGAACTACAAGAAGATAGATGCATGCCCAAACGACTGTATGCTATACTGGGGAGATGATGCAAATAAGGAGATTTGTACGAGATGCAAGACGTCACGTTATAAGTCGGTACGGAAGGGCAAAAACAAAAGAAGAAACCAGCCAAAATTCTCAGGTACAATTTATTACAATGTGTTACTTGTTCCGTCTCTAAATATTTGATATTTGAAATTCTCAATACAATTGATTATGATGTGTTACTTGTTCAGTCTTTAAATATTCGGTATTTGAAACTTTTAATATATTATTTTCTTAGATACTTTCCTTTGAAACCATGGTTGCAAAGAATGTATATGTCATAAAAAATGGCTCAGCACATGAGGTGGCATGCGACTGTGGAAAATCCAGATGGCAGGTTAAGGCATCCACGAGACTCGGAGGCATGGAAAGCATTTGATGCGAAATTTCCAGACTTTGCCAATGATCCTAGAAATGTACATCTTGCATTGGCAACCGATGATTTCAATCCCTTCGGAAACATGAGCACAAGTTACAGTATCTGGCCGGTGGTGTTAATTCCATACAATCTACCACCTTGGATGTGCATGAAGCAGAGCTCCTTTTTGCTTTCCATGATCATTCCTGGGAAGAAAGCATTGGGAAATGATATAGACGTATACCTGCAACCGTTGATACCCGAATTGATCGACCTGTGGACGAATGGTGTTGAGGCATATGACTCATATGACAAGCAACCATTCAATCTCCGTGCAGCCTTGATGTGGACAATAAGTGATTTTCCCGGTTTGAGAACTTTGTCTGGCTGGAACATGCATACTGGGTTGGTCTGTCCTGAGTGCAATTTTGATTCTGTGCCATGTCGCCTTCCATACATTCGTAAGTGGTGCTTCATAGGACATTGACGGTTCTTTGATTCTAAGCACAAACTTAGATTGCAACGGATTCGCTTTGATGGAAAACAGGAGAAGAGAGATCCTCCTGTTACTTTGTCTGGTGTGGATATTTTGCGGCAGTTAGAAGATGTTAATATCGAGTTTTGTAAGAGTGTAGATCCCAAACGATTGGGACGACGATCTCGTGGGACATGTGATATGCAACTTATGCAATGGCGGAAGAGAAGCATGTTTTTCACTCTTCCTTATTGGGAATCTAATTTGCTACGACATAGTTTGGATGTTATGCACATTAAAAAAATGTGTGCGATAATGTGCTATATACGTTACTCAATGAAGCTGGAAAGTCCAAAGACCATCTCGCAGCTAGAAAAGATTTACGGGCCTGGGGAATTCGTGAAAAGGCTTGGCCTGATGAAAACGACAAGTTTCAACCAGCTAAATTCACCTTGACGAAGCAAAACAAGGATATCTTCGTCTCGATGTTGAAGAACATAAGAGTACCAGATGGATATTCTAGCAACATCTTAAGGTGTATCGATTTGCAGGCTCGAAAGGTTACTGGGTTAAAAAGTCATGACTCTCATGTTCTTATGCAACAGTTACTTCCATTGGCCTTGAAAAACACACTTCCTTCTGATGTATCAGTGGTTTTGGTAGAATTATGCTCATTGTTCAAGAAGTTGTGTGTGAAGGTCTTGATAGCGGGAGAGCTTGATCAGCTGCAAAATAAAATTATTCTTACACTTTGTCACTTGGAGATGATATTTCCTCCATCATTCTTTACTGTTATGGTTTACTTGACTGTCCACCTTGTTCGAGAAGGAAATGTTGCTGGCCCAGTTCACTATCGATGGATGTACCCTATAGAGAGGTACTAGATTATCTTTTATTCCCACCTCTTTAAATTTCACATTGTTCTTTCATTTGCTCGTAATTATTAATGCAATTTTAACTTACAAGTACTTGGAAAAATTAAAATAATATGTTAGGAATAAGGCATGGCCTGAGGGGTTAATAGCATAAGGTTATTCCGGAGATGAGGTCCTAACTTCCTGTTCAAGGTACTTTGATGACATGGAGACATCTTTTAACCGCTCGCGTCGCGTAGATGATTCTCCTCCTAGTCCTTTCACGTCAACTTTATTTCCTCCTGTCGGGAAACCAGTTGGAGGATATGAATTCTTCAGACTCACTCCTACAGAGAAACTCCAGGCACACAGACACGTTTTGATAAATTACAGCCAAGTTGAACCCTTCATGCAGTAAGTATATCATATAAGCTCACTAGCTTTTACACTTTATATTTGTTTCTCACTGACTCTTCTAACAAATTACACTTTACTGTAGTGAGTTTAAGAGTTACCTCAGGCGTCAGCTACGGAGGTGTGCGCGTTCTGCTGACATTGATAAAAGAGTCCACAAAGAGTTTTCCAGTTGGTTTACACGTCGAATACGTAATGACAACAGCCCATACACAGATGAATTCAAAGCTCTTTCTCTCAGTCTGTTAGACCATGCACGAAGGTTTACCGCGTATAATGTCAACGGCTTCAAGTTCTGTACGGTTGGACGTGATCAAGGATTACTCACACAAAACTCTGGAGTTTGCGGGACATTCGGAACGAGATGTTATGCTAGCAGCAGTGATGGCGATATGCGCTTTGGAGGCGTCACTTACTATGGAAAGCTAATTGACATTATTGAGTTGAGTTACCAGCTTTTCACCGTGACACTGTTCAAGTGCTCCTGGGCAAATACAACAACTTCAAGGGGACTTGCTACTGACCATTTGGGCATCACCTCAGTTAATTTCTCTAGACTTATTCATACGGGAGCATCTGAAGATGATGAGCCATATATCCTTACTTTCGAGGCACACCAGGTTTACTATGTCAAGGACGAGAAACATAAAGATTGGAATATGGTCGTTCACCTCAAGCCACGGGATCTTTATGATATGGGTGATGGTGACATTATTTACGACAGTGAACCCTTTCAACCCTTGAATTTTGAAGACTTCTTTCCTCAAGGAGATGATAATTTGCCAATTATCAGGTATATGTCTTTTCTTAAATTATTTAAATAATTAATTACTAATTACTAATTTCTTCTAAATACATTATAATTCTAACAAATTTTTTTTAAATATGTCCTTTCAGGCCGGATGATGATGAAGAATAGTAGCATCCAAAATTTTTATTATTAAAAAAATTTTCCTTCCATAAATACATATGTATAAATTAAAATTGGTATAGCTTTTTAAAAAATAATAAATAATAAATTTGTAGCGGTTATGTAACCGCTACAAATTTATTACTGGAAATATTCCCCCGACAAATACATATATGTATAAATTAAAATTGGTTTAGATTTTTAAAAAATAAAAAATTATAATTTGTAGCGGTTATGTAACCGCTACAAAATCTAACTGCTACAAATACTAGCAGTTAGCTGTCCGCTAGAAAATGACAAACAGCTACAAAATGCAATAAAACGCTACAAAAAAACCGCTACAAATGTGTCGCTGATCTCTATAAATATCATATCATCTATACATTCATTTACTCCATCTCTTTTCCTTCCTCTCCTATTCTTCCTCATAATTCTCTCTTTTTTCTTACTCTCTCATATAGTGGTTTCTTTCTCTTCACTGTATGGTAAGTGAATTTTATTTTATAAGTCATTGTATCTTTTATTTGTTTTTACTTATAATTTACTAACATATTTATTTATCTTTTTCTTTCAGATTTTTCTTCTTCACACTTGTCATGCCCTCCTCAACTGATTCAAATACTTCTCAACATAACACTTTAGGTTCAATATTACAAACTATCTCATCTTCAATTCAACTATCTTATTAAATATTCAATTCAATTATCTTATTAAATTAAATTCACTTCTTTTGACATACTCATAATTTAATTACATATTGTTTATTACAAAATTCAAATATATAAAATGTAATACATAACTAATTATACAAATTAACAAAAATTATCCAACACAATCTATTTCATGGTTTTTAAATTTATAATATATTTTCTAATAATGAAACACCATAAATTTTTTTCTGCCTCGGAAAACATTTATAGCAGTTCAAAACTGCTAGAAATAAAAAAAAGCAGGAAAATTTCGTGAAATTAAAATTTTGCGTCAAATTTTCTAGCGGTTCAAACCGCTAAAAATGTTTTGGCGCCAATTGAAAAATTTAATTTGCAGGAAAAACTTGATTTCCCACGAAATTTATAGTGGTTCTAGAACTGCTAGAAATTTTGGCGCTATAATGCAAATTTTTAATTCCCGTCAAAATGAAATTTGGTTTAGAATTTTCTAACGGTTATATACCCGCTACAAATTTTTCTAGCGGTTTCTGCCTGCTAGCGTGTTCTAGCGGTTTAATAACCACTAGAAAGTTTCTGGCGTTTTGACCATACCGTGTAGCGGTTGCCATAACCGCTAGAAATTTTTTCTTGCGCTTGATTTTTTAGCGGTTTTTGTAACCGCTACAAATATTCGGTTAAAACCGCTAGAAATGTCTCAATTTAACCGCTACAATTGACATATTTTTTTGTGGTGATCAGCTCACTCACTAGACACAGAGGATACCTTTTTACCTCAGGCACAAGAGCTGTATAGGGACCTGCTGAGAATAGATAAGGAGAACATCTCTTAAAGTCAAATCTGGTTTGTCTTAGGATTTAGTTTTCTTTTCTATCAAGCCGCTGGCTTGCCGTGTAATTAAAAAAAAAAAAAAAAACTTTCGATGTCGCTTGTGCCAGAAGCGACGTGGTTTCTGCCTTTCAACGTCAGTTGTGGCACAAGCAACGTCGTTTCTATGAAAAATTTATTGTTTTAATTTCCAGCAAACTTATGATATAGGTATGGAAAATAAGCGACGTTAAAACTTTCTATAACTACAAAAATGTCACTGCTGTTTTTTTTTTTTTTTAACATCACTTTATCAAATAGCTGACATTAAATACTGATGTTATAAGCCTGTTTTGCAACAGCGGAGGAAAAATATAGGTACTTGCAAAATGATTTCTTCTCTTATAAACACTGGATAGGAAACTTTGAAAATTAAAATTGAAAGAAAGCATATGTGTATGACAGGGAAAAAAAAAAAATCAAAAGCAAGTATAGGTATTTTATTCCTATAAGTATGACAAAGTATGTGGTTGCACTCTTTCTTATAGTCAATTTATTGATGTAGCCGAATATTAAAGAACCTGGGTATTGGTAAGGAATTGCCTAGTGCCTACTTTGCGTTAAGGATTTCTGATCCTTAAGAATAGCAGCGTCGAAGTGTCTCTTCGACGTGTGCAACAAGAAAGGATTATTCCTTTTCATTTCATCAGCTTTGTTTCCTTTCTGTATTCCTATAAAAATATATATATATATATATATTCAATTCCCCCTTCATGTGCCTTAGTGTGGATTTTTGCTGCAGCAAATAATTAATATCCAAAAAGATCATATCAGGCTCTCAGCTTCATCAATAAGGGAGTTATATATATACGTTCGTATAATCCCTCATTCACTTACTTTGTGCTTACCTTTCAGATAACTCTCTGTTGGTTTCAATATGAAGAATCAAGAACCGAAGGACATAACCTTCAAGAAAGTAGCATGAACTATCAAAAACTTCAGTACATTGAAAACCAGTGACGCTCACTTCTCTGAGGTTTTCACTGCCGCCGGTTGTGCTTGGTATGAGTGAGAAATCTATCATATATGTGTGTGTGTCCTCTATCTCTCGTTTTCATCAAAATCTTATATCTCATATTCTATGAATATAATTTCTTGTTTCTTTATTCATTTTTTTCAGTCATCACATATTACCTCCGGTCCTAATTATAGGAACTCGTTTGTAGACTATAAACAGAGTCCTATAATTAGGACCGAAGGTAGTATATAGTTATCCATTCAGATTGACTAAAACTACCATGTTAATGTAATCTCCCCATGTTTTTTTTTTATTTTTTGGTTGGGAGGATGTTTGTAGGAAACTTCGTGTATACAGAGGGAGTCAGCATGGGCAGTATTTGGGTGTATATTTGGAAGTAGCTGATGTTTCGAGTTTTCCTCAAGGTTGGAGTGTAAATGCAGCCGACAAATTGACGGTAGTCAATCAAGTTTTCACTAAAGATTCTGTCACCAAAGGAGGTATATATAATAATATGCTGCTTCATTGTTTATTAGACTAAAGTTGCTTTCGTTTATTTGACGGTGTCATTTTTAATTATGGTCTCCTCTTTCTTTCTCAAAAATTGATTTTCTCATGCAACCCAAAAGAGTAAATAAACAAAAAATTATACTGGACTGTGAAGGCCCGAGAATATAATTAAAAGTGGAATATAATTTCATGTTGGAATGGTGTGGGCCAATCTTATTGTCGTCTTTCATTGTTGTTAATTCCCTTGCTTTTTTGTGGGAATTGAATGCAGATATAAACTACATGTTCTCTACTTATGGCATTGGTTGTGGTTATTCATCTTTTATGGAATTGACTGAGCTTCAAAAGCCATATAATGGCTATATTTGGAATGATACATGTATTGTTGAAGTTGAATTTTCCCAAGTAAGCTATGAAGGCCCCCAAATTGAGAAAGCATTGGGCGAAAAGGATGAAGATCTCGTTAAGTTCAAGGATTTGGGACTAATAGAGAAAGCATTGGTTCCACTGCTAGAGGAGGCTTGTTTGTGGCATCCTTCATTGATGGACTGCAAGCAGAAGAGAAGTCCTAAGTTTACAGAGTGGGCATTTACTGCATTGGGTCGAGTTCTGCAATTTCTAAAGAACAAGAAGTGGAAAGATATGAATGAGAACGCATGTGAGGAGCTTCAACAACTGTGGGGGGAGCTTGCGATGAGTGGATTAGACTTGAGTTGGTTGGAGCCTCTGGTTAAATCCTCTATAAATATGAAAGGATATGCTGACAAGGTAGAGAAAATTAAGAAGTTGAAGCTAGAGTTGATGATTTCGGAGACGGGGATGAACATCATAAAGAAAAAAATAAGTGACACTGAACAAAGTGTGGAGAAGATAAGAAAAGAATTGGTGAATGCGATGGAAGACTTGAAGAGAAAGATTTAGATGCAGAAATTGGGTACGGAAAGGCATAGTCTAATATATGTATGGATATATACATGATGGAACATATGGATCCTTGATATGCATCATCAAGATCAGTGCACTCTTATTATAATATTATTTGAAAATGTAACATTCTATATGCTTTTATGCTTGCGTAGATCTCCTTTAACTTTCCTAATTAAGCGTCAAAATACAAAACTGTACTTTGGGAAAAAAAAATTATATAAGCAAGATATACCAAATGATGAATCAGTCTTTTCCATTATAACATTTTCAAAAGTCAATTGTCTATGAATTCGTCCAAGAATGGTTTTGAAGAAGTCCACTATTGCCAATTTATGTTAGGCCATAACTTTCCTAATTAGGTTGTGATAGTCGAATAGTAGAAATGAGTGTTTAAATGCATAGGTAAGTAGGTAGTGAGGGAGAAAAAAAATCTGATATAGCTTTTAAGCTTAGAGAGCGATTGTTATCTTCTTCTTCTTTAAAATTAATAAACATGAGGTGTTAGTGATTTTTGAAAAGTGGGTGAAAATGGGTGAACACTGACTGTAATACATGTTGAAGGAACTTAGGGAGGGAGAACTGAAAGGAAAATGGTTGAATGTGCTTAAATGGGCGATATGAAAGTTAAATGTGCAGAGAAATTGTAACTTGCAATTGTGAAAATATGTATTCGGATTGTAAACTTGCAAATTAGAATTGTGCAGGAAAATGTCAATTTAATGTTATGAAAACCAGTATTTATGTTGTAAAACAGCAAATTCCTATTGTTAACGTATACTGTGTATTATTATAGAAAATTGGTTGAAATTTATAGTTGAATGATGCGCAGTAACGGATTATAAATGGCTAATGGTAGCGGGAAACAATTATTTTGCATCTTCCATGTGGAAGAGGAATTTGTGAAGACCTTAGAAGGAAAATTGGTATATGAAGGGAGTATTATAAATAGAAGATTGATCAGAAAAGGGATGATATATGAAGAACTACAAAGCATAGTAGCAAATGATGCTTGGCCAGGTAGTGGTCAGTATAAAATGAAGTATATAGTTAGTTTGAATAGGAAAATATTTTTAGACCTTATGAATGCTATTGAAGCAGGACAATTAATTAAGTACAATGATAACAGTTGGCATGTTTATGTTTGCAACAATGAGAAAGACTTGAGATAAGCGTCACAGTTGAATAGTGCACAAGAGTAAGTGGGCATATTTGGTGATGGGTTGTAATCTTTTTTGTATAGTGAATTGATAGTTGAAATATTTCATGACGGTACGTAATGATAAGCTATCCCAAGTTCTGCGCTAAAATTAGCTAGTAATGCTGTAAATGTATAAAAGACTTCGTTTATTTGTGAATAGATGTATTTTTGTTATCAATTAATGTATTGATTTTGCAAATTCTCTAATTCCTGTTGCAATGCACATATCATTTTAGCACATTCCCTAACTCCTGTTGCCAACTATGTAAGTCCACTTGCTAATACGTGAGTTCCTATTTTAAATTTCCCAACGCTTTTGCAAATTGTCTAAACCCAATCATGAACACAATTGACAGATTCTAGCATGATGGTTCAGTTATATTTGAAAAAAAAAATCACTTGCAAAAACACAAGCCCCTGTTGTAAACTTAGCTATTATTGTTGCAAATTCCTTAATTCCCATAGTCAATATTTACACTCAAAGTATGAAATTTGTGGGGGGAAATATATTATCATTACTAAACATGTAATAAACACAATATATAGTTCATTGCACTAGAAATAAAATTGTGGGTAATCCTTATTCACAAAAGTTGACACATCCTTTGCTAATATAAAAGACATCTTGAGCTGACAGATCCTTCTTCAATTTTCTCTTGGTTGTGTTTGTATCTTTGCAAGTAGTTATATAACAGCTACCAACCGTGTAGTTCTTGCATGCGTAACGAGCCATCATAGCAAGTCTAACCTCAAGGAACTGAGTTCTTTTTATTGCACAACATTAAGAATTATCAAATAAGGGACACAGTGGAGTACAAAATTGAAATATAAAAATAATGCATTCATAGATAAGCACTTAATCAACGCATACTTGAAATTTTAGAATTTTTTAGGAGCTGTCTGAAATTAATTGCCAACTACGGTCCTTAGTTGAAATTTTCCCATAAAAGTATAATCATTAAAAAGCAATTAATTAGTTAATACAGAATTAAGTCAACAACAACGACGATGACGACGACGACGACAACAACAACAACAACAACAACAACAATGACGATGACGACAACAACACAACAACAACGACAACAACAACAACAATAGCAACGATGACGACGACAACAATGATGATGACAACAACAACGATGACGACGACAACAACAACAACAATAACAATGATGAAACAACCAAAATGACAACAACAATGACGACGACGACAAAAATGACAATGGCAATGACAACAGCAACAACAATGACAATGACGACGATGACAACGACAACAACATTATTATTATTATTATTATTATTATTATTATTATTATTATTATTATTATTATTATTATTAATCAGGTATATCCCTAGCTACATTATTAGAAAATAACCGCGAAGAAAATAAAGATAAAAAAATTATGAAAGATATGTTCTATTCCTTGAGGAGCCAAACTGGGGAAATACATACAACCCAATGGAACTTATAGATAATATAAATATTAAATAAATGAACCTAGGTAATACAAATACAATGAATCTAAGTAATACTGCCTTTATTGCTATTTATAAGAGACACTTCTTTAAAAAAGCTTTTTTTTTTTTTTTTACAAGAGATGCTTCGGAGATTTAATGCATTTTTTTTAATATTTACCCTCAATTAATTACCTGTCTCTCATCTTTTTTTTCTCTCGCTTATTCTCTTTCATTTTTTTCCCCTAATCATTCTCTCTTCCACTCACATTTTCCATGAATAAGGGCATTTTTGGAAAATAAATTGTTTTTTTTTTTTTGCATATTTATTGGTTCAAACTAATTTTAACAACTTTTTGATCAATATGATTTTGTTAATCATCTCCAATTATAAAGAGCGGCCATGATAAATGTTACCCAAAAAAACAAAAAAAGATCTGTGGGCATAATCCAACAGCAAGGGATGACATATAAATTCTGTAATCCTTAAGAACATCTTTTTTAATTTAGACATTTTTGTAAAAGCAACGATGAAATAATAGGTTAGCAATTTCCCTCATGTTGGTTGCAAACAAATCTCTATCTATCTAGTTATGTAACCTATTTTTTATGGCCAATCTTTCCTTGGGATACACCACAAACTGAAAGCTTGCGTCTAGGTTCTGACTTCCCCAAACGAGTTTCCGTTAGAAAACCTTTGAACAAGATTCCTTAATTAAAACATCCTAGGCATCATGAATCAAGATTCCTTAATTTGTCTTCCTCACTAGGATTAATGTTATGTTGTTTGACTATATTATTGCCGCCATGTATTATATAATGTGGGTAACATATCTTTGAAACATTGGAGAACCTATTACAAATTTAAAACATTTAAAAGGGAGTATGTGTTATATGGAAAATGATCAAAATCGATTTTTTTTTATTAGGAAAATTATCTGCGACTTTCAGATAAAAAAAAATTCAAGTACAATATCTAGCAAGGGACTCCGAATTTAAGAAAATTAAACATTGCTTTGGGATCGATATATAGCCGAATCTTGTGCCATGCAAAAGTGAATAAAGAATTTGGGTATGGGTAAAGAATTACCTAGCGCCTACTCTGCATTTGGAATTATCCAATCCCCAAGAATAGTAATATTGGAGTCTCTTCCTTTTGATCTTCATTTCGGTTTCCTTCTGCTTTCCTTTAATTTATAATAAATAATCTTCTTCGTGCGCCTTTGCATACATTAGTCTTGCTGCAATTAGTATCTGCCTCTAAAGGCTGTTAGCTTCATTCCCTGTGTATCCCTCGCCCACTGTTATTATAGGTTTGGTTTCACGTTAATTATATCTTATTATAGGTTCCTATATTCGAAGCTTCAAGTGCATTCTTGTCTTACGTCTTAGTGAGTTTCAAGTAGTTGATTAAATATATATATAGATATCAAAAGGAGATTGTGCGATGAAGAATCAGGAACCGAAGGATATATCATGCAAGAAAATAGCGTGGACAATTAAAAACTTCAGTAAATTGAAGACCAATACACCATACTATTCTGAGGTTTTCACTATAGGCGATCGTGCTTGGTAATTGAAATCTATCTTGTCTATTTTTCATCTCTCAAGTTCTTCAAAATCTCTTCTTTTATAAATGTAACAACTCCTCCCCCGCCCCCCCTCTCTCTGTTTTTTTTTTTTGTTTTTTGCCTCCACTTTTCAGTTTTCATATTTGTTTTTGGTTCCATCGATGAAATAGTATTTCTAAATTCAAACATTGCTTGTGGTGTATTGGGAGAATTGATATAGGAAAGTTGCTTTATACAGAGGAAGACAAGATGGGAAGTCTCTGGCTATATATTTGCGTGTGGCTGATGATCTGAGTTTGCCTCAAGGATGGTGTATATACGTAGAATACGCCATAACTGTGGTCCATCAAGTTTCCAGGGAAAATTCAATTAAAAGAGGACCAGGTATTGCTTCATGTTTTATTAACTGTTATTATAAAATGTCAAAACTGTCGACGGTTAGGTTGTATCATTTTTAAGGTCCTTTATTCGAACTTTAATGGGGTTTTTCTTCTCATATAATCTGAATAGTAAATAAATTATTATGATCGGACGTGATAAGTAAACTATATATTTGGACAAACATGGGACGGCTCAAAGTCGAATCCTAATACCCTCCGCTAGATTCACTTAATCTTGTTTGGTCCAAATTAAAATTAAGCATGCTTTATTTTTGTTTTCATTACATATAAGGAGAGATTGACTTATATTCACACCCCACTTCATTCTTACCACCTGAGCCAGCCATAGATGGCAAAGTGTGCTTTATTTATTAATTTATTTATATATTTTTAGTGTCAACGAAGCATGCTTTATCAAGTGAAGGCGTGAAGATATATTGGTTTTGTGGTCCTTTAAATTCACGTTTTGGTGATTTGATTGAATGCAGATGAAGGTATACCATCCAAGTTTGATGCAAAAGGATTGGGTTGGGGTTATTTATCTTTTATGCCTTTGAGTACACTTGAAGACCCATCTAGTGGGTACATTTCAAAGGATGAATGTACTGTTGAAGTTGAAATCTATTCTGTAAAATCTGAAGGCATTAATAAGCCTACAAGTCACCCTGCTTATCCTTCTTTATTCAAGCAAGTCAAAGAAACTCCAGCAGATCCAAAGGATGATGATGATGATTTTGTTGATTTCAAGGATTTGGGACGAATAGAGAAATCGTTCGTTCCACTGCTAGAGGAAGTTTGTTCGTCGCATCCTTTATTATTGGACTGTAAGAAGAACAAAAGCCGTAGGTTTACAGAGTGGGCATTTACTGCATTGGGTCGAGTTCTACAATTTCTCAAGAACAAGAAGTGGAAAGATATGAACGACGAGGCATGTGAGCAGCTTCAGTATTTGTGGGATGAAATTGAGATGAGTAGACTAGCTAGAGTTGAGTTGGCTCGAGCCTATAGTGAAATCTGCTTTAAATATGAGAGGATATGAGGAGAAGGCAAAGAAAGTGAAAAGGTTGAAGCAAGAGTTGTCTGTCTTAGAGATAGAAATGAACAAGACACAAGACAAGTTAGTGGACACAGAACAAAATGTTGAGAGGATAAGGAAGGAATTGATGAGTGTCGGAGAGAGCTTTGAAGAGAAGGATTTGGATGCAGACATTGGATATGGAAAACCTCCTAGTCCTATGTACAATGAATAATTTGGGGGGAAAGAAAAAAAGGATATTGATTCACAAGACTATTATATGTGTTTTTATTTATGTGAAATTCATTAGGTACACCCTTTTTATATCTGTGTGGGTCTCCCTGTAACTTAAAGTGTAAGCAAAAATATACGATATTCTTTTAAAACAATACATCAATATGCCGTCAACATTATATATCTCATATAAATTATGAAAATTATGATAATTTATTCTTTTTAACGGTTATAAACAGTTCGACAAAACCAATTCAATGCACAAAAACATGTATATCTATCTTGTTTATATATAGAGCAACAACAAAAAAAAGATTTAGAAGTGAGCTCATTTATGAAAGACTTGATTAATTAATCTATTTTGCATTCACAAAATATAAATGCATTTAATGTATTTAAAGAAAAATGAAAAGTTATAATAAATTTAAAAATGGCATTTGATCTGAGTTTCATATAAAATCCTATTTATATTTTCATCACTAATTTCTTCAAACCTATGAATATATAGAATTATATATTCAAGTTATGAAAATCCGTAATCCTATGATTGTTGGCTTAAGTGCAATTATAAGGGAAATGGCAGTGGAAACATTTTTATTTGCCTTTCAAATTAAAATAGTAGGTTCACGTAGAATCAATAATTTTTCTGCAATAACCGATTTTTTGGACAATCACATTGGGTGCATTATGGTTCCAAGAAACATATAGTCACATTCTAAAGCGGTGAAAAAAAAAAAAAAAAGGAGATGCATTATCACTTGCTTTTTTTCATTTGATAGAACTTATTTTTGCCTTTTTTTTTTCTTTTGTAAACTTCGTGCTTTATGCTTGGTAGAATCTCGGGTTATGCAAGTCAATGAACTACTTTGGCATTGGAATTTCTGATTCTAAAAAATAATGGCATCTTGGAATCCCTCCCCTGTCTGCAACAAGAAAGGCATGTATCCCTTTTCATGCTTCTTATGTTCCGTTTGTCTTCTCTTTTCCTTTATAATTCCTCTTCCTTCGGCTTTCTATTCATTTTTCTTTTGCCATATTCGTTGCTGGCTTTGACGTGTTAGTTTAAATCCTATTCATCTGATCGCTTGTGAATTACTTTCTCTTGTGATAAGTTTCCAATTAATTTGGTCTACTTTTAGGTTAAGTTAAGTGGCTTATGGTTTTTATTGTACATTTGACCCAACCCAATTGCGTTGTTGGTTTTTAGGCTTTGATTGTGTTTAGGTAAACATAAAGACGTAGCAGGTTGATTGTACTATGAAGAATCAGGAACCGAAGGATTTAACATGCAAGAAAGTAGCATGGACAATTTCAAACTTCAGCTCATTGAAGATCAATGCCCCTCACTATTCTGAGATTTTCGCCGTCGGTGACTGTGCTTGGTAATTAATTTTGCTCCCTTAATTTGGACCAGGAATTGTGCTTGGTAACTTAATTATATTATTTTATATCATTCCTTTTCTAGTTTCGTTCAAAAGCTCTTCTCCATTTTCAACTGTTTTGTGTTTGTTCTTTCTTTCTTTCTTTCTTTTTCCAGTCTTATAATTGTTTTTGGCTCATTCAATATCCTAAAATATTTTTTCAAGTGCACTGAACATCTTAAGATATTTTGTAGTTTAATTTTACTCTTGAACAATTAATTTTTTCCAAAAAGCAATTGTGCTTTTAAAGTAGTATTTCATCAGCAATTTTAATTTTGTCATCAACTCCTCAAAAGATCTGTTAAATAAATATATATCAAGCATTATCAAGTACTATTTTTTGAAAAATATTTCTTAGGGTGTTCAACATGCCTTAAGAAAAAAAATACTTCACTACAAAATAATACTGTAGGATACTAGATGAACCTAAAAAATTACTTCAAAATGTTGGACCACCACAAAATACTTTAGATACTGAACACATCTGCAAACTAATTTAAGATGCTGGATGCACATTAATTTTATATATAATATCAAATATGTGGTAAACATATTAATAATATGATTATCGTAGGAGGCTTCTTATATATAGAGGAAAAATAGATGGGAAGTCATTCGCCATATATTTGGAAGTAGCCGATGCTTCAAGTTTGCGTCAAGGGTGGAGTATACTTGCAGCCTTCAGCTTAACCGTCGTCAACCAAGTTTCCAGGACAAAATCTCTAACAAAAGGAGGTATTATTTCTTGCACATTCGTTAATTACGATTCCATTAAAAAATATTGTTTTTGATTCGGTAGTGTCATTTTTAACTTGAAGATGCTTTTTCTCAATTTGAAAAAGGGAAATTATATTTGGGTGATTCGATTTAATAATAATGCAGACGCAGATGTACCAGACAAGTTCTGTGCAGATAGTTATAGCTGGGGTTACAAAATTTTTATGCCCCTGAGTGAACTTGGAGACCCAACTAGTGGATATATTTTGAATGATAAGTGTATTGTTGAAGTTGAATTATTCTCGGTGACATTTGAAGGCATAGAGCCAACAAGTCGCCCAACACATCCTTCCTTATCTAAAGAACCCAAAGACGTTGAGTCAAAGGATGATGATGTTGTTGATTTCAAAGATTTGGGAAAAATAGAGAAAAAATTTGTTCCGTTGCTAGAGGAAGTTTGTTCGTGGCATCCTTCATTGATGGACTGTCAGAAGAACAAAAGTCGTAAGTTTACAGAGTGGGTATTTACTGCATTGGGTCGAGTTTTGCAATTTCTGAAGGGTAAGAAGTGGAAAGATATGAATGAGGAAGCATGTGAGAAGCTTCGACAAGTGTGGGAGGAGCTTGAGATGAGTAGATTAGACTTGAGTTGGCTGGAGCCTCTTGTTAAATCTGCTGTTAATATGAAAGGATATGATGAGAAGGCAGAGAAAGTGAAAAAGTTGAAGCAAAATTTGGTGGTTGTAGAGGCAGAATTGAAAACGATAAAGGAAAAACTAGCAAGTACAGAACAAAGGGTTGAGATGGCAAGAAAAGAATTGGTGAATGCAGAACAAGACTTTGAAGAGAAGGATTTAGATGCAAAAATTGGATATGGCAAACCGTAAGCCTATAAATAGAAATAATGTACCAGATTAAATGCATCCTATATGTAAGAATAGTACAGTGTTGTTATTTGATTTTTAATGTGAAATACCATAAAATTTTAATAATTAATTTTGCATTACAAATTTGTCTTGATTTTAAATATAAAGATTAAGAATTAAAGTAAAATAAAGTCAAGGCAAAATGATACATTTAATCCTTTAACTCTATATAAGGTTCCACCTTTAGTCCAGGGAAAACCATTTTACAGATATATATATAGTTTTCCTTGATTTTTAATACAGTGCTTTCTTTTCTTTTAATTAAACATTTTAATTTTACTCTATTAGCATCATTAACTTCTGTAAGTTTGCTCTATTAGTATTGTTAGCCCCCATGCAAAAGCTAATTATGCTAACAGAACAAAATTATAATGTTTAATTAGGAGAACAAAAATACACAGGTATCAAATAAAAAATTGGAAAAAAAAAACTATAAGTACATACAAAATGGTATTTCCTTTTAGTCTGTTAACTTTAAAAAATATATATTTTCAATCTGTTGATCCTAAAATTGTTGGTCTTAAATGATAATTTTTTGTATCAATCATGGTTGTTTTGAAAATTACACTTAATATATTAGTATTTGAAAATGTTTTAAATAGCATTTAAGATCTCAATATCATCATTTTATATTATCAATTTTAGAGTTAAAAGATTAAAAATATAATTTTTAAAGTTATACTACTACAGTAAATGGTAATAGATATCGGTTGAATTTAGCAATAGACGACGATTCATAACCGTTACTAATGAAAGTGTTATATATTTTCTTGGTCATGTAAGTGATAGTTATCAACCACTAGATATTATCTAGAATATGTAACATTCTTATTTTTATATCTAGTATTTAATTAAATTTATAAATAAATATATTTTAGTATTAAGTTAATAAAAATTTAGATATATGTAAATTATTATTATTTTAATAATGTTTTTGTGGGTGAGTGTGTGTGAATGTGTGTGTGGATGATATTCTAAAAAATTATACTATGGTATAGAAGTCTCACGTCGACTAATCATTAGAGTAAAAGAACTTGAGAAGCCTATATATAGGAGATAGTGGGTGGAGCTTGAAGTGAGTAAATAATTTCCGCACATATCTGAGATAGTCTCAGAAAAGTGCTAGTTTTGATTTTATTAACCGTTGGATCTTACTAAAATTTGGTCAACCTATTTGGGACATCCAAATCATTAATTTCAATGGTCGGATCATTATTTGGATCTCCGAGTTACAAGTTATTAGATAGGTTTTTAACTTATTTTTTTAGATTTAGCAAATAGAGTCCTAAATACTAAATTAGTATTTTTAAGTCTGTTCACTGTTAGATTGAGCTATAATTTGGAGGATAATAACATGATAGATAGGAAATTAAATCCAACGGTCAGATTAAGGGTTTAACTTCTGTAGTAAGAATAACCTGATTCGTATTAAATCTATTTGTCTAATTCCTTTAAAGATAGAACATAAGCTATAAATTTACGGTTTGTCTATTTACGTTATGAATTTGATGATTCTAATAATATAATCTAATAATTAAAGGATATTTAAGCAAGAAAAATTTAGGAATCTAGTCTAAATCATAGATATATGTTCTCATTTCAAACCTTAGAAAAAGGTCTTTTAGGCTAGAGTTCTGAGTAAAAATTAAAGCTTTTAGAAGAGGAGTTAGGGGCTAGAATTTTGTGAGTAGCCTACTCTAATACTATAGAGATAACATTTTAATTTTGTTTATAGATACAAACTCTATTGTGGCGTTTTCGAGGTTGGATTTTGGTTATATTTGACTGTTAGTATGAAGTTGGTGAATGATTTTATAACCAATTTTATATAAATATATTATGTTTTGTATGAACTATCTTGTAGGATGCTATATTGAAAAGGATTGAAATCGTTTACATTACTAGAAATTAATGATTATGACTATGAGATGTTACTCCAGATTCGGTTGATTATGCGTATAAATGTATCATTTGGAACCCTGTGTATCTAGTTTGGGTGGGGGAAGGAGATAATTGGAGTTATTGATATTCATATACTTGTCACGTGGTATTGCCTTCCATATGGAGCTCTATGGTTGGCCACTATTATTATCCCACTAGTTTTTCGAGGGACTGCGACACCTCACTAGTTTTTCGAGAGAGGACTCATGGTCCACCGAGTGCTTTGTGGTCTTTGGCCGGTCCACATTACTCGTGTGGTGAGCTTGTCAGAGTTACTAGTCAAATGGAAAGAATTCAGCCCATGGGTCCAGTCGACAGAAATAAGGAGGATATAAGGATGGATTTGGGTTCAGGAATTGCAGATGACATGGGATTTTTATTAGGTTCATATGTTTTAAATAAATGAAAAATATGTTGTCTTTTTGAAATTATCAACTGCATGATATTGATGGAAATAATTATGTTATATGGTTGTTGTGAGTTTTAAATGTTAAATTAATGTCTATCAACTGTTATTAACTCTACGTATTCTACCTGCCACTTCGCTAGCCCATGCTAGGATGTGCAATAGATAGAGATTTAGTTACTGAGACGTTGTCTCACTCCCATTATCTTACCATTTTCAGGGAACAATACGTTAACGGGACCTTTAGGAAAGACTCCTGAGGCTCAATAGCTAGAGCTGACAGTGCAGAGCTTTTGGATATTATTTTATGCAATCTTTTTGTATATTGCCACGTATTAGGACTGCATTCATTTGGGACTTATTTTACCTTCTCATATTTTTATGTCGTTTGACTTAATGAATGTATTATACCTTCTATCTTTGGTTTATTTTATCTGGACATTGGACTAGAGTGCTGGCAATGGGCCTGAGGCCCTTAGATTGCATGTGATTGAATTATTGTGGATTCACGATGTGATAATGCTAATTTTCGCAAGTTTAGTTGTTGCTAGTATTGACTAATATAGTCAAATCTGAATTGCTATTATAATTTATCATTCAGAGGTGTATTGTTTTATAACCATGTTAGATATGATTACAAATATAGGTTTTTTTTTTTTCTAACCATGATAGCCTTAATTGAGGTCAAATGCTTTTCTATCATGGTTAGCCCCTTAGTGATGTGATTGCTTCTTAATAACAATGATAGGGTATGTTTACTAGTTTTATTTATTTCTATCATGGTTAGTTCTAGTTAATAAGTGGCGATGTTACAGAATACTTGTCAGTTCTACATCACAAAGGATCATATATTTAATTTGGTAAGGCCATGTGACATACAAGGATATCATTACATGATGGTTTGCTTCAAGCAAAACATGCCATGTTATATACTTCCTTCTATTAACATGCTATCTTTTGATACACATGCCATGAAAAGGGAGCAACAAAATACATCTTTGCATAACTCAACAATGCATATAGCCAAGGCATAATATGTAAGGAGTATAGCATATTAACAATTAATTAGCTTTACCACAACATAGCATAGCAATACATAACAAACACATAATAAACAAATAACGCAAGTTAACGCTAAATTGTAAGTTTTATGCTCCATCTTGTTGAATTTGACTTCTTGTTCTTTTGCTCCTCCTCTTGAGTCTCCTCTTGCTCTTGCTTCAAGCCTATCAATCATGCACAAAGGGTATTCCTTATTACAATCCCATTCAACTCAAAATGCTACCCCAATCCCTTAACCCTTTTCTTTAAATTAATTTTTAAGGTCATTATTTCATCCTTATTTTGTTAACTCTCTTAGGTTTTTCTTACACAATTTTGCATGTAGAATTCATATATTAACTTAGTTTTATCAAAATACAACCCCTCCCTATAGAACTCCTTCTGGCTGAAAGGTAGGTTTAAGGGATCCTAAATTCTATTTTTAATTTCAATGCTTGCAAATACTTTTTTTGAGTTTTTTTTTACACATTTTCATCATCTAAGCACAATGGAAACATCAATTCCGTTTGAATCAAACTCTAATCTCCTCCTTCAAGCTTGGCCAAGGTAATGTATAGGGGTATAGGGAGTTGGATTTCTTTCAACAATCATGCATAAATAATAAGTCTCTACTCTTTTCTAACTCTTAATTCTTGTTCCAATTCCAGACCAATCATCCCTTATATTTCTGAAATTTTGGCAGCATTTCCTATCACATCCGACTAATTTTAACCTCGAAATATCAATAATAAATTAGATAGAGGGCCAAGTGGTGAAGTAGATTCAGAGCCAAAACAACTTTTAGATTGAGATTCGATCCCTAATTGGACTGGCATTTTTGAACTTATTAGTCCAAGAAGGACAAAATAGGAAAGTTGGGTAAACATTCTAGAAAATTTCCAAAAAATTATTAAAAAATAAAATAGAGTGTTTAAAACTATATTTGAGGCCCTTGAGATAAAAATAGCATGAGAATAATTTATTACAAAATTTCTTGTGAACTAAGATTTTTCTAGTTAAACAATGAGAAATTAGTCCAAGTTAATTATTTAAAACATGTAGAGGCCACAATAATTTTAGAAAAAATATAAAAAAAATTATTTGAAGGTTTATTTAAGATTATAAAATTATTTCCAACCTCTAGAAGTAAAAGAATTAATTTTAAAATAATTATTACTGAAATTTTGTTGGTAAGACCCAATTTCGGAGAAAATTCACTACAAGTAGTTAGATATTGAAATAAATTTTAGAAAAATTCATGGGATCTTTGTACGTTAAAAGAAGATGTTTGATGGGCAGAAATGAATTTTTGGAGGTCTAGAACTATTATTGAAAATTAGATAGGAATTGTAACTGATACAACGAAACCAGATGGAGGAATGTTATGGGATTTGAGAGGTTACATTCCTTCCCTCTTTTTTCAGCCATTTAGACATCAGATTAGGATAGAAAGGCCTGGAAAACTCGTGACCCATTTAGCCTAAATGATTAAGGAATAAAATATTAAATTTGATCACATGATTAGCAAAATACTTGAGTACTTAGGGGCATTTGGCATACTTAAACTTTCTGT